TCCTGCCTGTCGCATGGTGACACTAGCATTCATTTGATTAATGCCGTCTTTTGGGTGAACATCACATTGCATGTTGCTACCATGATCCAATTCAGCTTTGAAACGTAATACATAGATAACATCTCTTAAAATGTACATACGTTTTTTTTGGCACTCCCTGGTAGATGACTATTGAAGCTGTGGGCTTGGATACAATTGCCCAGAGAATGAATGTCAGTGAGAAGGAAGAAAGATATAATTTCTTAGATAAGTCTGCCAGGAGATATGTGAGTCAACCCAAGAGAGTCAGTAGACCATAAGAGACACTTAGTAAGGGAGGTGGCAAAGGCCCTATTTTCCCGAAACACTCCTGGAAGAAGTAGAAGAACAACAAAGGGACTGGAAACCCATTTTATGGAGTTTTCTTTGTTCTTTTGTAGCAATCACTAATTGGGCAGATTTGGGTGTCTGAACATTAAGTTCACTTACTCCTAACCTTCCTTCCTAGGAACTTTACCAGGTTGCTAAGTGTCTTCTTGAATTCCTCTTCATGGCAGAGGTGGGACAAAAGTGATTGTATGTTTTCCTAAAAGATGAGAGTGTTTTGAGTCCCCAAACTTAAAAATTTAGGATGAAAATGTTGCTCAAGTGCCAACAGCCCATTTTTATTTGTACTGAAATATACATCAGGGCTTTTAAAATAGAGGTTCAGCTGGTGGGTGGGTACCTTGCGGTTCCTTGAGTCTATTTCCTGTGGTCACAGGATGGATCAGAACAAGACAATACAAATGTCACTGAAACCCATGAGCTAGGTAGCATGCTGGACTGAATACTTTTTTTCTTTTTTTGAGTTGGAGTCTCACTCTGTCACCCAGACTGGAGTGCAGTGGCCGCTCCCGGCCACCGCAACCTCGACCTGCTGGGCTCTGGTGATCCTTCCGCCTCAGCCTTCCAAGTAGCCGGAATTACAGGCATGCGCTAGCATGCCCGGCTGATTTTTTGATTTATTGTAGAAATGAGGTATGAGGTCTTGCTGCCCAGGCGGGTCTCGAACCCACGGGCTCAATCAATCCACTCGCCTCAGCCTCTCAAAGGCGCAGGATTACAGGCTGAGCCACCGAGCCTGGCTTGGATTGAATACTTAATTCATTTCTTCTCTGGGTCCAGGTCTCTTTGGGTGCCAGCTGATCCAGAGGGATCTTCCGTAGTTCACCTCCTGAGGACGTCCATGGCTCTGAAGACTGCTTTTTTCTTTTCCTGTTTATTATGACTCTCCCTTGAGGCAGTAGCCTCTTTAGCCTCTTTATTTGAGCATTTAAACAGAAAGCTCTGCCCCTTCCTCTTTGAAATTTTGAGTTGCTCTAAAATATTTATAATGTGTGCACAAGCACTTGAAAGGGATTTTAGTTTTCAAAAGATGCATCTCTTGATTGACTGAGGCCTTTTGATAATAAGAACTAACGTAGAGCTTTAGATCAAGGGTTGCTTAGTTTCAGGAACACCTCTGACATCAGTCAGCAATTGCATACCCATTAAAGACTCAATCTCAGCTTTCCTCTGGATGAAACCTTGATGGCTTGTTGGTTCCTGCTTTACCGTGGCAACCTTGTTGGTGGTGGGCTCCACTGTGCACTTGTGAATGGTTCTGTTGGCTGTCATGGGATGTGCTTGGGTTGGCCCAGGTGTGAGTGGAAGAGAGTGGTGGGGAACTGGAGTTCATGCTGACATCTCAGGACCACGAGGTGGAGGGGTTGACGGTGCTGAGCTCCCTGTGTCTGAGTATATGTGGATTGGTCCTGCATGTCACCACAGACTGGACTAGAGGTGGCAGCAGAGGGACGTGGCATTTGGTAGCCTAGGGAACAGAAGGCTCCCTGGACTGTGAACTCACAGAGAACAGGAATTATTCCCAGATCCCCAGCCTGGTGCTATGTGTGGCAAACCAGAAGCCAACATACCTATCAGTCAAGTGTTGGAAGCCAAAGATTAAATGGCAATAGGCTTAATAAAGAAGGTACTGGTTCAAGGGAAGAGTAGTAAACCGTAGGGAAGGAAACAATAAAGGAGTCCTTGGATCCAGAAAGACTCCTGCAGTTTCTGTAGAGTGGATGCGTTTCTATGTCAGAGTCAAATCCAGAGTCTAAGGCTGTCTTTGAAAATAAACGGTATGTGCAGTTGCAGCGTCTCTTGTAGCTGCTTTCTTACAGTGGCTCTTCTTCCATATGATTGGGTCAACAAGAATACTCTAATTAAGCAATTTTTTGAAGATTCTTGAAACCACGTTGTTTGGTGACCTGAAAGCATAAGTCCTTGGTTGCAGATTGTGTTTGACTGCTGGTCTCCTGATTTCCCACATCTTCTTCAATTATGCAAAAGAACGTGGGAATAAAGAAATGAATTATGGAACAGCTGAAGGATAAAATACCATGTGGTCACTTAAAAACGTCCTTTTTTTTTTTTTTTTTTTTTTTTTGAGTTGGACTCTCACTCTGTCGCCCAGACTGGAGTGCAGTGTCACGCTCCCGGCCACCGCAGCCTCAACCTGCTGGACTTCGGTGATCCTTCTGCCTCAGCCTTCCAAGTAGCTGGAACTACAGGCACGCACTACCATGCCCGGCTAATTTTTGATTTTTTGTAGAGATGAGGTCTCGCCAAGTTGTCTAGGCAGGTCTCGAACCCGCGGGCTCAGGCAATTCACTCACCTCGGCCTCCCAAGGTGCGGGATTATAGGCTGAGCCACCAAGCCCGGCCGAAAAACACACTTTCAAATGACATTTATTGGTAAAGGAAAATGCTCTTTATGTAATGTTATGTGAAAAACTAAGACATTGTATCTTGGCACCTATATACAGAGGCCCAAATAAATTCCTTTTGAATAAATGAACATTTCCTAGATGAGTTGGGTGAAAACCTTATATGTCTTTGTAAAAAATATGAGTCTATTGACCGATGTGACTCTTTGCCTCTGCAATGAAAAATCATTGACTAGTGGTCAAGACATCTGCGCGTAGTCCAAGGTTCTAACCTTTTTGGAGCTGTTTCTTTATCTGTAAATGGAGATGATACTCTCTTCTGGAATAGTCCCTAGGGGACCCTTTTGGGTCCCACATGCTTTGAGTTGTCATTAGAGATTTTGTGGACAAAGCAGCTGTCATTGATAAGGGGCACCACAAGGCTGGGCCTCATATGGTTCACATCACTTTGTCAACTGAGACTTGATCAACCTTGACCTCCTATTGTTTCCCATCATTTTATCTGTCTTGAGTTTCTCCCTCCTGAGCCACTCCTTGCCACTGCTGTGTAAAGAGGCCTCTTGATTTATTAATCAATTAATCAGTGCATGCTGAGGAGCTGCTCAGGGTAGTTAAATGGGGAAAACAAAATGCTGGAGCCCATAATCAAGATGGATCGTAATTAAGAACCACCCTCCCACTGCTGTTCTTCCTGCCCACCCTGGCTGCCCCACAACATGCCCCCTGCCCTCAACTCTCAGACCCCATTCAGCTCTCATGGGGTTTCTACCCCATCAATGTTCACAGCGAATTTCAGAAGAGCAGATTTTCTCCCTCATGTCTTAAAGGTAAATAGGTCTTGAGATGAGCTTCATCAATTATTTGCAGTAACTACTGTACCTCAAAAGTTCAACTCAGCCCCCTGTATGTGACTTTGTTCATATATGCAGTTACTGTATTCTCCTATCCCCATTTCCTCACAAACAGAACCATGGGGTCAGGATAGGCCATGTCCTCGTGTGACACATGATAGGCTCATTGAGATTCAGTAAGTTGTCCAAGGTCACATAGAACTCCAAGGTCACAAATAGTAGAGCTGGAAAATATTTTGATACTCCATTAGCATTCCTAGTGCTTGTTTCTCTGTGTAATCCTGCTTTTCTTTAAAAAGTAAAGCAAAGTAAAAAATTAGAGATTGCATCCTCATTAAATCCTTTTTTTGATTTATTTTAGATGTGGACCTCTGAGCTAAAGATTATTATTTTTATGTTTATTATTATTATTTTTTAGAGCAGTCTCACTCTGTTGCTCAGGCAAGTCTCAAACTACCTGGTCTCAAGTGATCATCCCATCTCAAGCCTCTTAAGTAGCTGGGATTACAGGCATTGAGCCACTGTGCCTGGAAAGACTTTTTAATGGTAGTTTTAGATGAAGTTTTTGGGGAAAAGTATCTTGGATTGTTCATCAGGGAGATATTTTTGTTTTACTGGGTCAGGATATCAGATGCACAGTTAGACTCAGCCAGCTTGCTGTGGGGCAAATGGTAAACATGAGTAAACCTGCAGAGATTTGTTGGGCCACTGGCGCAGGCTAGATCTTTGGTCCAGAGTCTGTTTGGTTTGATTTTCTTCCAATGGCACTTAGCACACAACGCTGATGAGGCCAAGACTTTCTTAGAATAAAATCTCTGTTCCAGGTCACAAGTAGCACCAACATCTGTTACCGGCTTTTTTTCTTTTCTTTTTTTTTTTTTTTTTTTTTGAGTTGGAGTCTCACTCTGTCACCCAGACTGGAGTGCAGTGGCCGCTCCCGGCCACCACAGCCTCGACCTGCTGGGCTCCGGCGATCCTTTCGCCTCAGCCTTACGAGTAGACGGAATTACAGGTACGCACTACCACACCTGGCTAATTTTTTGGTTTATTGTAGAGATGAGGTCTCGCCTGACCAGGCGGGTCTCGAACCCGCGGGCTCAGGCAATCCACTCACCTCAGCATCCCAAAGGCGTGGGATTACAGGCTGAGCCACCGTTACCAGCTTTCTATGGGTAACAGGGGGCAGGAGGCCACAGTACATTGGTTCAGAATGATTGTACCCATCCCCCATCCTACCTGAACACACATTTACATCTTCTGATTGAACACTTTGGCTGGGTCCAGGCATGGCTATAATTCTTCAGTGGACACCAAAATAAGAATGTTCTTATTTGACTGGCATGGTAAGGAAGATACTTAGAAATCTTTCTTAAAAACTTCTTTAACGTTTTCACTATAAAATTCTTATATTTGTCAAATGTGTTTGTCAGCCTTAGAGGCTTTGCTGCCAGTACGGCTTCCCGTTTCTGTTGGATGCCAATCAAACAATCAAACTCTTTAAATATGTCTAGGGTTTAACTCGTAAACCAGACATCAGAACTGTACTTATTATCCTTGAATTACAGGTTTGCTTTCTTTCTTTTTTTTTCCTGCTTCCTTGTTCTCCAGGACCCTGCTTTCTCAGCTGTGATTCACGACAAACTCCAGGTCCCCAACACTATCCGGAAGGCATGGAATGACCGGGACAACCGCTGTGACATTTGTGCCACACACCTGAACCAGCTGAAGCAGGAGGCCATTCAGATGGTGGTGACCTTGGAGCAGGCAGCAGGCAGTGAGCACTATGATGCTTCGCCTGGCTCACCCCCACCGCTCTCCACCATCCCTGCCCTGGTGGGGTCCCGGCATGTGGGTGGGCTCCAGCAGCCCAGGGACTGGGCCTTTGTGCCTGCCCCCTATGCCACCTCCAACTACACAGGCTTCGTCAACAAGCATAGCAGCAAACCCAACAGCCTTGGGGTCAGCAATGGAGCCGAAAAGAAGAGTGGGTCCCCAACCCATCAGGCCAAGGTCAGCCTCCAGATGGCCACCAGTCCCAGCAATGGGAACATCCTCAATTCAGTGGCCATCCAGGCTCACCAATACCTGGATGGTAGCTGGTCCCTGTCAAGAACCAATGGGGTCACCCTGTACCCGTACCAGGTAAGTAGCCTCTGTGAACAAGGAAGAGCAGGGTTGGCTAGAGTCAAAGCAGACAAGGGTTAGCACTGCCTTTCTCCACTTTCTGTGGCTGGGAACTCCCCAACTCAGAGCCTAACGTGGCCCTCACAGGGTTCTCATCAAGGTGGGCTTTAGCCGGGCCCACCTGCTTTGAGAGTGTGCCTACTGTTTCCTCCAAACCTTCCACTGCTGCCCTTTCCCTGCTCATTCAGTGTCCTCTTCCCGAGAGTTTCTCCTGGTCCAGGCGATGCCAAAGGCTTCCCAGCCAGCAGGTTCCCTGCATGGTGTGATGATTAAGAATGCAGGCCCTGGAGATGACAGGACTGGAATTCAAGCACTGACTTGTCCACTTACTAGCAGTGTGACCTTGCATAAGGTGTTTGCCCTATCTCAGGCTCAAATGGATATAAGTGGTGAGAATTAGATAAGGTAATATGTGCAAAACACAGAGCACAATATCTGACATATAGTAGGGGATTATTGTTGTGCTTGTTAAGAAAATTAATTTCTCAAATTTGAAATTAAGACAGCTAGGTAAGAGATTTTAAACCAAAGAATTTTGTGGGTCCCTGAAATCATGGTTTTAAAGAAATCTGTGGGTAGTGCTACGCATTAAGAATAAAATATACAAGGGACAAGTGATACAAGAGTCTATGGGATATGAGAGTACAATTGGTACTCTCCTTCTATTGTCTACACCTTCTAAAAGAGGTATAGACTCCCTTTCTAACCCCTCCTCTCTTGACAGACCTTAACCCTTTTCTATTTGCAACTCATCTCAAATACTGTTGCGGTTGGGTTGCCAAAGATATTTTTTCTTTTCCATTATTTAAATTAGCACATATCCCCAAGTTTCCCTATAGATATAAGAGAGCAGGTCTCAAATCTTCCAGAGAATCTTTAGAAATTGTCTTAATTTTTCCTGGATAGGTTTTTAATGTATGTGCTCTTTACGTCCCTGGCATCAGTGGTATAGGAATCAGCTGACTGTCACTAGAGTGGAAAGATGGCCATGGTCATGGGGTATATCAGTCAGGGAAGACAATTGATGTAACAAATGATCCTACAGATCTCAGGCTATTTCTCACCTGTGGCCCTGTCATAGTGGGTGTTTGGTGGGTGACCTGCTGCTGTGCGATGTGGGGACTCAGGCTTCTTCCATCAAATGTGTCACCATATTCCAGGAGCCTCAAGGGTCCTCCATCAGCTCTTCTATAGCCAGCCAGGAAATAGGGGAAGAGAAGGAGTAGAGAAGATCTTGCAGGGGAATTTTGGGGCCCAGCCTGACCTGGGAGGGAGGGATGTACATTGTTTCCATCCATATTCCAGTAGCAAGAATCCTGTCTTCTGGGCCCACCTTTCTGCAAGAGAAGCTGGGGTAGCCAATCTGCACATGACTCAGGAGAAAAAGAACTAAGTTGAATGAACACACCATAGTTTTGTTTCATGGGTAAAGGTGGAAGGAAACATAAAGCAAGTTAAATGTGCCTGAGAGAAATTCCTGGTGACTCCTCTAGGGTGTCTGAGAGGGAATATAGATTCTGTCTCTTGATGTCTTGAAAGAAAGTGGGAAATATTGGTCATTATCCTAAGAAGTTAGTGTTCTTGGATTGTCCAACTTTTCATTTACTGGGTGCTTTTTAAATTTACAAAATACAGTGCATACATCATTTTGTTTAACACCACAATAGGACTATGAGGTAGGAAGAGCAGATATCAGGTCTTCCTTTGACAGATGGGCAGTATGATGCTTAGAGAAATGGAATGACATGGCCACACAGCCAAAGACAGGACCAGCACTAGCTCTCCCTCGCCCAAGGGAACGGCTTTGCCTACCATGGCTGCTTCCAACTTTCCTGACTTGTCCCTCAGCAATCTCTTGTCAACATCTTTTCCAGATATGGTTCCTTTTCAGATATGTCCCAACAAAGAAAAGGACTCCTATTTTGAACTGCAGGGGATTCACTGCCACCTGACTTTTGGATGGGATTTTCTAGGTTGTGTATTTGATTAAAAAGAAGACTCAGTGGCATCTTGGGGGAAGTTTTATAGTCTAATCTTGAAAATAACTGTCTGGAGCACACAGAACAGAACTTCTTTTCACTATGGAATGATATGCTTTTTTGTTTGCAATTTTAAAATATACTATGTTGAAAATAATTTTTAAAAAAGTAGTACGTGTTTGTTGTAAAATAGAATTTAAAATACACGAAAAGGTGTACTTAAGACTTTAGAAGTCTACATCACCCAGAAATAAATTATGTAACATCTGGGTATATTTTCTCCTAGTACTTTATACACTGTTATAATTTGTCAAACTGTGACTAGGTTCAATTCTGTGACCTGCTTTTCACTTAATACATTGGGTGCTTTTTCCCATGTCATTATATGCTTTTTCTGAAATATGATCTTTAATGGTAGTAAAATATTCCATTATATGAATAGTATCCACTCTATGAGTATGTTCTAATTTATATAACCAAGCATCAATTATTAGAGTTTAGGTTTTTTGCCACTATAAATAAAATGCTCAACCCAGGCATGGTGGTTCACAACTGTAATCCCAGCACTTTGGGAGGCTGAGGCAAAAAGATTGCCTAAGAGTTTGAGACCAGCTTGAGCAATATAGCAAGACTTCATTTCTAAAAAAAATTTTTTTTAATTGCCGGGTATGGTGGCACATGTCCGTAGTCCCAGTTACTTGGGAGACTGAGGTGGAAGGATCACCCGAGCCCAGGAGTTTGAGGTTGCAGTGAGCTGTGATTGTGCCACTACACTCCAGCCTGGGCAACAGAGTGAGCCCCCCACTCAGAATAATCGTGGTATAACAACAACAACAACAATGATAACAGCAATAATTACTATTAATAAAATGCTCAGGTAAACATCCTTCTTCCCAGGTCATATTTTCAATACATCCCCTGGTTGTGCAAGCTGTGTACTCGTGTTACAAAAATGACTCACATTTCCCCTTCCACGACCCCAGAGTACCTGTAATCCATATCATAATAAGACTCAGCTGCTGCACCAGCGCTGATGAGCAAGAGTAGAGGAACAGAGACTGGTGCTTTCATATAAAATCTTCAAAGTGTGGTCAGAGTCTGTGTGAAAGGGGGAAATGCAGAGATGCTGCTTAAAAGGAAGGTTGGAGATCACTGATATATTACTTTTTTGGGTTTTTTTGAGTTGGAATCTCACTCCATCACCCAGGCTAGAGTGCGGTGGCACACTCATAGCCACCCCAGCATCGACTAGCTGGGCTCAGGCGATCCTTCTGCCTCAGTCTTCCAAGTAGCCAGAACTACAGGCACTTGCTACCACACCTGGCTAATTTAAAAAAAATTTATTGTAGAGATGAGGTCTCACCAAGTTGCCCAGACTGTTCTTGAAATTTTTTATTTGTACGATTCTATTCCTTCTCTCCCTCCTCATCCTCAGATAAAAGAGAATTTCCTGTACAAGAACAAGTATTTATTTATTTATGCATTGGAGTCTTACTCTGTCATCCAGACTGGAGTGCAGTGGCACAATTATGGCTCACTGCAGCCTTGACCTCCTGGGCTCAGGCGATCCTTCTACCTCAGCCTCCTTAGTAACTGGGACTACAGGCGTGTGCCACCTCACCCAGCTAATTTTTCTGTTTTTGGTAGAGACAAGTTCTCACCATGTTGCCTAGACTGGTCTCGAACTCCTGGACTCAAGTGATCCTCCTACCTCGGCTTCTTAAAGTGCTGGGATTATAGGCATGAGCCACCATGTATTGGCCTAAGTATTGGTTAAGCTCTAGCCAAATACTGTGCTAAGTGTTAGGTAAGCTACTGACTTGAGCTGGAAACCCAGGCTCCTGTCCTGAGGTCCTCATCATGGGAGAAGAGGTGGTAAACTGCCCATTATGAGGCAGGCAGGGGAGGGCAGAGTAGAGAGTTGTCCAGCTGCTCTGAGAACACGCAGAAGGTTCGTATCCCAGCCTAGGGGGAAAAGGTGGGTGGATGGGGCTAAACCCTAGATACAAAGATGATTCGCACAAGTCACCAACTTGAGATTGTCCTGGGTACTCTACATTGCTCCTTTCCAGCTTCAGAACAGATGGATTCATGCATTTCCCCTGAATCACAGTCAAAGGGACCAGAGGAAATCTCTCTGGGATAAAGTGATTTGGTGCTTGGCTCCAAGTCAGTGTCCCCTGTGTTGTGACTATGTCATCTTGATGGCCTGGCGTGGGGGCTCTGGGTCTAGCCAGACTGAGTGTCTCCTGCTGTGGACATCTCCCTGTAGTAAATATTCTGCAGTTCACAGTCTAGCCAGCTTGTCAGAGATGGTTGGCTGCTCCGAAAGCTGACCTCATTTTTCCTGTTCACCCATACTCCCACTTCCCTCCCCGTAGAGCAGATGGCCTCTGGATTAGTGCCAAAGCTGTTGCCTGGGCAGAGAAGCATCTAGACGTTGTCACCATCAAGGGTGCTGTTCCACACCCACAGAACCAAGCCTATGAGGGAGAAGAGGACACCTGCCGCTCTGCAGTTTAGATTCCATGAGATGAAAAAGATGAGGACAGGTTCTCTTTTTTTTTTTTTTAAAGAAAGAAAAGTTTATTTAAAAGTAAATTAAAGAGAGAAAGAGAAGGAAGAAAGAAGGTTCACCTCCCCAAGGTGGGGGAGGGGGAACAAAGCCAGGAAGCATGGCGACAGCCATGGCTCAGTGAGCACATGGCCACACCAGACTCTAGCAAGACAATGGCCCGAGGACAGGTTTTCTTACAGTGAGCCTGGTGAAACTTTTGTCATATGGGTGACAAAAAGATCCCTCACATCCCTCAATTTCTGCTGCCCTCACCACTGTATCATAATCTTTGAAGGTTACTGTAGGAAGATTTTTTCTTTTCTTTTGCTATATCCTTCATGTTTCTAAAGTAGCTCCAGAAAGAGCAGGAACATATAAGCATCACAGACAAATATGAGTCTATCCAGAGAAGTAAGAAAAAG